GCACGCGCCAACCGAGGAAAAAGACGAAGAAATTAAATATCTATTCTATGAAGACCTCGAAAGAGCATATGATAACTGTGCCAAAAACGATATTAAAATAATCATTGGAGATATGAACGGCCAGATACGAAAATAGATGTGCTACCAAGAGTATATTGGTAAACACATCCTTCACGACGTTACTAATGATAATGGTTTAAGGGTTATTAGTATGGCAGCTTCCAAAGATTTAATTGTGGGAAGTACATGTTTTAATCACAAAAATATCCATAAAGCACTTGGAGATCACCAAATGGACACACCACAAATCAAATTGACCATGTTATAATTGAAAGAAGACCCTTTACAAACCTAATGGACTTCAGAAGTTACAGAGGCGCAAATATTGACTCAGACCATTTCATGGTAGCGGCCAAGTTAAGACAAAGAATTTCCAATGCCAAGAAAGAAAAGGGCACTAGACAAGTAAAATTTAATTTACATATGCTAAAAAAATGAAAACAAAGAGAAACAGTTCCAGTCACATATAAAAGAAACCCTAGAACACACCTGTGCAGTCGACCAGTCAAGCACGGAAATGTGGAACAACTGCAAGGAGGCTCTAAAATTAGCAGCTGAAAGCACATTAGGAATATCCCGAACACAAGAAAGAAACGACTGGTTCAATCAAGACTGTAAAAAATAACAGATGAGAAGAACGAGGCATTTAGGACCGTGCAACATCGGAAACCTAGGACAACAATAGGTAGATACAAGAACTTAAGGAAAGAGGAAAAACGCACACACCGAAAAAGAAACGAGACTCGGAAAATGACATATTAGAACGGCTCGAAAGCCATATGAGTCACGGAGAAACAAGAAAGTTCTATCATCAAATAAATATTATTAGAAAAGAATTCAAACCGAGAATCAAACTATTGTAATGATAAGGAAGGGAACTTACTTACCAACAAAGAGGATATCGTATTACAATGGGTAGAAAACTTTCGAGAGTTGCTGGAAGGGGAACCTACTAACATTATAGAGCTGAAATACCGAAATGAGGAACTCGTGGAACCCCCCTCGGTGGATGAAGTGAAAATATCTATAGAAAAACTAATGAACCACAAATCTCCAGGCAGCGATGGCATCCCAGCAGAGTTATTTAAGCACGGTGGACAGCAGCTCGCCAAGGTGATGCGAGAAATTGTTTGTAAAATTTGGTCTGAGGAGCAAATGTCTGAAGAATGGGCTTTCCCTTTACAAAAAGGGAAACCAACTAGAATGCAATAATTACCGTGGAATAACTCCCTAAATACAGCATACAAGATATTGTCAAACATTTTGCACGAGAGATTGAAGCCTTATACCGAAACGTTTCTAGGAGAATATCAGGCAGGATTCAGGAGTGGACGTTCAACCATTAACCATGTCTTTACACTACGACAGATAATAAAATATAGACAGAATAAAACCAAATTCATGGCGACTAACACAAGAGCTGGAAATGTTGACGCAGATCTAATCATCAATGACCAAAACTTCCAAGCAGTCAAAGAGTTCATATATCTAGGAACATCGGTTAACCCCAATAATAACACATCTGAGGAAATAAAAAGGCGAATAATAATTGCAAACAGGTGTTATCGTGGTCTATCAAAGTACTTAGCTAAAAAACGTAAGTCTCAAAAATCAAAAAACTCTTATAAGGCTGTATAGAACACCGATAGTCCCCGTTCTCACATATGGATCAGAAGCATGGACGCTAACTAAAACAGATGAATCCGCTCTATCGATTTTTGAAAGAAAGGTACTACGCAAGATATTCGGAGCGGTCTGTGAGAACGGAATATGGAGGTGTAGATATAACTTTGAACTGCAACATATCTACAAGCATACGTTTGGTGGTAAAGATATTACCACTATAATTAAGCGAAACCGCCTGCAGTGGGCAGGACACGTGCCCGGGCCCCTGAATCGAACATGATAAAAAAGATTCTAACAGCGCAACCCGCAGGAATTATTTATTATTTATCGTATGGCACTTGACACATTTACATATATTTTGTATAAAACATTCCATATATGTTTACAAACGAACATGTAACTTATTGGATGCCGGTGGTACATGGACGGTGTAACATAAGATGCCGAGAAGATCGGAGTCTGCAACTGGAAAATGCAAGCAAGAGACAGAACAGAATGGAGTAGAAAGCATGAAAAGGTCGAGGCCCTCTAAGGGCTTAAGCACCAAGATGATGATCATGACGTGAAGTTTTAAAGATTATGAAGCTTTTTGTAGAATTGCAATTGAGGCGTTCTTTGCAAAAACTCCATTTGCCAATTTTTTTTTCGGAAATTGACTTACGCCATTTATCGATTGAAGAACTAATTGCCTACGTTCCTTGCGTAAGAAAATTTTATTAAAATCACAGTAGTTCAAGACATAAGCAGCAAAGATATAGTCGATTCTGCATAAATCACATATATCACGCGCAGTTCAAGTGAAATTGTGCCATTAAAAAAGAAAAGGAAGGTGCTGAGACGTACGTAGATATAGCAGGCAAGAGTAAAGGGACAGAAACACGTTAATTATAAGGGCATGGAAAAACCACAAGTACAACTGGATCCAAGAAGAAAGTACGTTACAAATATTATTTGTAAAATAGTGAAACATTCATGTTCCCGTTATATATTTGTTTAGTGTTAAGTTAACACGGGGATTATAACAATTGGCAGGACTGACAGTGTCACTTTGGCAAGACTGTAACTCTGTCACTAGCTGAAGAGAAGTAAATCAATTATCTGCAGTAATGTTTCTATTACTTCTCACTATTATCATAGTGAGAAATCTGTATTGGAACCAACAGGCTGTGGTAACATTAGATGGAAATAGCACGGATGCGCAACAGATAAGTAGAAGAGTGAGACAGGACTGTGTACTTTCACCATTACAATTTAATATATATTCCGAAGAGTAATTTACGTAAGCACTTAAAACTGTACATAAGGGATCAAGATAAATAATGGTGAAAATATAAATAACATTCGTTATACCCACGATTAAGTGATTATCGCTAAAAGTGACAAAGACATGCAGACGCTACTAAACACAATTTGTGATACTGGAGAACAGTTTGGTTTAACAATAAACAAACACCAAACACTTGTTTGGTGAAAAAAATGGCGCCGAAGCTTATACTGAATGTTGACTTAATGAGAAAGTTTTTGAGATGTGGCTTTTTTATAAGAATTTTGAAAATACTATGGACCGATCGTATTACGAACTAGAAGCTGCTGCACAGAATGGGAACAGACAGAGACTTTACGACCACCATTAAAAGGAGAAAGACAGCATATTGTTACAGGTCCAAAGAATTCAGAATAAATTATTGAAATAAAGTTTTATTATTTTAATTTTTTCTAAATAATTGTTAACAACTCTACAAGATTTCATGGACAATTAATGCATTCCCAAGTCTTATTTGGTCTCTGAGATTATCTATTCGTTCTTTCCTTGATTTTGTACAGCCTAAAACAAAAATAAGTATAAATTTAAATGAATAATAAACTTTGAATTAAAAATAAACAAACCAAAAAGCCTATTTTTTATTTTACAGGTTAATGTCAAAAATAGCTTGATAGAATTCTTCTTCTTATATTTTTAAACAGATCTCAATCCTATTAGTAGTACAACTTATTTTAAATAAATTATCTATGTATTTAATAAATTTAAAAAAAACTTATCTTTCATTTTTTTCTTTCCTTTCTTTGGTGGTCTTTTTGGTATGGAAAAAGTATTGGTTCGTGTAGAACTTACAACGCAATTTTGCGGCTTTTCTAGAGTTTTCTTGATAGTTTTCCGAAAATTTAATAGTTATAGCAGTGAGAAGCTGAGCAATTATCAACTATTGTGTAGATTTGTTTTCTAAAACTAAAAGAAACTCGATTTTATAAACTAATTTCGTATTAGAAACACTTTAAGGTCACATTTGAACAAAGGCATTTTATATTTACTCTGAGATTTAATCTCAAACCATTTTGATCATCTTTTCAACTTATATTATAATCTCGCGACTCCTTAAGGGATTGGCTATCAGTTTTCCATATTAGTTAGGATCGGATGTTATCCAATTGTCCATAAGAGAGAAAGAACCTAAAACATCGGATTATTAAAGGAAATAATAATAATAAATATTAAGTACTCACCTGGGATCGAGTTTCCAGAAATCAAGGAGATAGACTTTCTAACAGCTAAGTGGAAATTTATTCTTAATTTTGGTAGAATCGAACATTACACTAAATTTCTCAATTTTTTTAGTACGACACTGTAATTAGAACCCCACTGTAGTGGTTATAATAAGAACTTGTTAATTAACCTTTTCACTTTATTGTTCAACTATTGATTTTAATTTGATTTAAAAAAAGAAATCTTTAATAAAGACAAAAGTAGCAATCGAAGAATATATTGATTGGTTGATAATCATTCCTTTACCCACTTCCCTGAGGGCTCTCCGAAAGAGCGATTACAAATACATATCAATATTTAGGGCACATACTTAGAAATGAGACGTACGAGTTGTTCCAGCTGATTATGAAGGGAAAAATCAAAGGAAAAAGGGGTCCTGGTAGACGACAAATATCCTGGCTGAAAAACATTCGAGACTGGACCGGGTTAAACACACAGACGCTCTTAAGAAAAGTAGAAGATAGAAACGAATTTGCAATGTTCATAGCCAACCTCCATTAGTGGAGTCGGCACTAGAAGAAGACTGTGAGAACTAGGAAAGGAGTTTGACGTGAAAACAAGTTTTCTTATGGTTAGAATAAACACATAATCAAGTTTTCATCTGAAATTTCACTAAAATCAATACATGAATTGTTGAAGTTAAAATTTCTTCCATGCCTCTCCTCAAAAAATGTTGTTTACCATGTTAATTCGTGTATTTTTAAACGATTTAATGCATTAGCTATGGTTGGTTATAAAATATCCATAACAATACTGAAATATTAAACAAACACACATTCAGGTAGATTTTATTACCTTATAAAATACATTACATTAAAAAATTAACTCATTTTTTACTTACAAAACAAAAATCAAACTTTTAAGATTTTTATACTGAACATTCCTTAATCTAATACCGAAAATTCGGCAACTACTATTCACTATCATCGTGTCTTTTAGACTTCTTCTTCCTGTGAGACCTATGACTGGGACTTCTGGACCTTGATCTATGTCTCCGAGATCTACTCCTTGATCTTTCCCTTCTATGAGATCTGCAAAGAAAATATTTGTATTTTAGTAGAAAAATGTATGATGCTTCATAAATTTTTTTATAAGAGGAAAGATATATTATTATTATTATTTATATTAAACGTAGACATGCTACAAGAATATATCAAAACCTTTTTATTATTAATCTATCAGTCCCCCTTTTCACATATTTTAACAAATTATTGTTCACTGTTTCTCTGAATTCACTGTTTCTGTATTCGCAGTACATTTAGGGAAGATAACTCAATATTGCAAACAATTTAAAATATATTAAAAATTAGTCTGTAAAAAAAAGAAACCTGTCTATACTGAAACAATTGTTCACCAATATGTTATTGCGTTTTGCAGGGGTTTCACTATATCTGTCTCTACTCTTTCTTAATATTTAATATAAATGGTCAAATTGTTAATCTAAGTCATAAAATACCAACCTTTCTCTTTCCCTGTCTCGATCTCTAGGCTTTTCAGATCGACTTCTAGACTCTCTTTCACGATCTCGATGTTCTCTATGAGGACTACTATCACGTCGAGTACTTGGTGACCTCACTCCCATCGACGGTGGTGGGCCCATATGCATGGATGGTGGTCCCATCGGAGGTGGGCCTGTCAATGTTTTTAATTCAGAAGGAGCCCATGCAGGAGGTGGTTCATTGCCTTAAATTATATGCATTATATAAATAACAGAATATAACAGAACATAAATATAGTCAGAAGGAATAATGATTTGAACATAAAAAATTAAATTCCAATGTATAAAGCAGAGGTAAGGACAGCACTAACATATCGCCAAAACCACAATTGAAACGCCAAAACCACAACAAAAAGTTGAAAGCATTTGAACTGTAGGTGTATAGAAGAATCCTGAAGATATCATGGACTGAACATGTAACAAACAACGAGAACAGTCAACAAAAGAATGGAATTATTAGAATCCATTACGACACGAAAGCTGCAATATAGTCGCCTCGTATTTCGGTGAGACTGTGTAAGAATATATTTATCTGTAATAAAAGCAGGCAATAAAAATTAAAATAAAAGTGCTCTAGCAGGAGTAGTTATTAACTGCAAAATTATCAATGACTGAGATGTATTATAATACAAAGTTTTAATATTCCCATCGATATTTACATTCAGATGTGCCTGGTATTACGTTAGAAAAGATGTACAGTCGCCCAGATAAAGTTATCATCGATGCATTCTTTGTCTAAGATAACAATATTTGCCTGAGCGACCGAAACTATAAGGTAGTTTATCCAAATAAATTTCGTTTTGACCGTCCAGTGGTTTACACTTGGGTAGGTAGGTATAATATTTTACTTTATTTTAAACTTTATTTTTAAACGAAATATTGTTTATTTGGATGAAACCTGGTATGGTACTCATGACACGGTGAAAAAAGTTGGACGAATAATAACAAAAAGTGTTCTAATTCAGTACAGCCCAATAAAGGACAGAATTATAATTTTACACTGCGGTGTAGAAAATGGATACATCGACGATGTATTATTAATATCTGCAAAAAAAATGAAAGACGTGAATCTAGATTATCATGAGGATATGGAGGGTTCAAGTATAAAAAAAGTTCAACTCAGGAACCATAGATGTAAACGTTCAATGTTTTTTTGAAAAAAAAAAACCGAAGTTAGTTTTTATAAAACTCATAAAGAAAGAAAGTACGTAAAAATATGTAAAAGAACAGTAAACTTTATAATTTTACGAAGATACTTCTAAAATGTGGCACCCGTGGTGTGATAATAATTCTGCAGCTGAAAAGCCAGTGGAACCCTCTAATCAATTGGAATATTTACAAAGCTGTGTAGTAAAATGTAAGCGACACTTTCAATATATCTCTGATGATCCCAAACATATGCTGAAACATGTTTATGAAGGATTGTGTTCTAAATTGTCTAAATAAGAAACAATTGTAGAAACATGTTTATCAGAGTGTCGAAAGCAATCTGATACAAGACTATAGGAGCAACATCTTCTTCTAGACAGGTGAGAAAGGATTGTGCAAATTCACACAAATAGAACCGCACCTAAAGGAACATATAATCAGAACAATATATAAAATGGAAGTGGCTAATATTTTTCCAACTATTGAAAGCTTTCGAAGTGAACTGGTTCGAAAGGATATTCTCTTATATTCAGCAACAACACTTTGATGATTTCTTAAAACCCATAATTTTAAGTAAAAAACTATAGACAAGCGCCAAACACTAATGGAAAGTACTAGAATAATTATTTCTTAAAGAGACATTTCTATCCGATAGATAACTGAGTATCAAAAAATGAAACGAAATCTTCTTTATTTAGATGAGACTTGGTGTGATACTCATGACAGGACAGAGAATTATAATTTTACACTGCGGTGGAGAAAATAGATGGATCGATTATGTATTTTATTAATATCTGCAAAAAAAAATAAAGATGCGTGTTTAGATTATCATGAGGACATGAAAAGTTTAATTTTTGAATCATGGTTTGAAGAATCTCTTCTTCCGAGATTACCTAAATATAGTGTGATTATTATATGGACAACGTATCATATCATTCAAGATTATTGAGAAAATTCCAAATAGTACTTGAACCAAATTCAAGAATTTTTATTTGGGAGAGGTTTGTACTTTGAGGCATCATAGTAAAAAGCAATTATTGGAGATTGTTTATAGTAGACAGTACCAGAAGGTATATGTTGTTGATAACTGTACTCGCAGTAATGGGCATACCGTGCTTGGACTTCCTCCTTACTATTGTAAATTGAACCCAATAGAGTTAATATGGACTCAACTTGAAGCAAATAGAAGAAGAAAAAACGTGGCTCCTAAATTTTTGTCTACTGCTCTCCAGTTAATTAGAAGAGAAGTCACAAAGATCACAGCAACCAACTACAAAAATGTAATCAAACATGTAATCAAAGTGGAAAATGACTATGTTAAATATTTACCAGCAATAACCAAATTAACTAAAAATTTAGAAGATACAACTTATACTAGTGATAACAGTGAATCTGAGTAGATTTTTAAGTTCTTATTTCCAACTAGGTGTTAGTTGAAACCTTTATTTTTATTGTAATTGTACATATTCTCGTTTTGCTTATATATCTTTGAAAATAGAGTACAAATACACTTCATGATAGAACAAAAACGTACAACATATCGTTAGGTTAAAATGACAGGGTTCCAACTAACAAAATCGCATATTTGGAGTTATTAGTGTGAAAAGGTTCCAACTGATCTTCCCTATATTTTGATCTGACAACAGCGCTGGCTAACAACGCAATTCTGACTCATTACAATGCCAAGGTTCCATCCGTGAACATAAATAAAACCAAACTAGAATGACATTCTACAAATCGACAAATCGAGGTGACACATGAAACCTTGTCACTCAACCAATAAAGGTGGATTTTCACAGAACCGATATCCGATGGTACGATGATACGATATAAATTTCAGAGAATTTCATTGGTTGAAAAATGACAGGTAAAATTTTCGTACGAAATTAAAAGTCATCGGAAGAAGTTAAAAATATTTTAACTTTTGCACGAAAATCGGATAAATTTTGACATTGTTGACATTTCTAACTTGAACCTTAACCTTTTTTTTTGTGGAGTGTTTATGTTTACCATTTGAAATATATTTAAAATGGAACAAAGACCTAATTATTATATAAATGCAATGAATAAAGTGTTGCTTTTGGGTCTTCTACACTATGTGAGGCAAAAGTTACGAGAACGTAGCTCAATATATATTATATATCAAACAAAACAGCTAACATTTATTGACAGTTCATTAAAATAAATATCAGTCCATCCAATAATCTGACACATAACACAAATATGTCAAAAAATTTCGGATACGACAATCAAATATATTCGTACAAAAAAATTTCGTATTTCGTGTCATCGGATATCGGATCTGTGAAAATCCAGCATAATTAAGATTTGTTGTTGTGTTATTAAAACGTTTGTATACTAAAATACTTTTACCTAAAAAATTGTTTAATTGTATGTGATAATTACTTTTATTAACAATTTTTTACAGGTATTATTATTTTACAATAAGTTCTGTTTAGTGAGCCTATTAGTGTTATCACTCCCTAGATATACCACAGAAGTTAACAACACCAATATTTTTTCTTTAAACTTTATAGAAAATGAAACTTTTTCTTAAATAAAATTAAATAAAAATAAAAACTTTTTTATCTAATTTAAAATTAGATATCTACGCTACTGCTCAACGAAGCAGTGGCCAGTCTAACATTGTTGCCATTTTCTAGGATTTGGCTCGCTCTGGGTCCTATAAATTTTCTCACGAAATTACGTGTCGACTATACCTGGGGCATGTTATGCGTAATGAAGAATACAACATATGTACTTCAATTAATTATACAAGGGAAAATCCAGGGCAAGAGAAGTGCAGAAAATAGAAGAATCTCATGGTTGTGTAACTGAGGGAATGGTACGGATGCACATCAATTGAACTATTCAGAGCAGCAGCATCTAAGATCTGAATAGCCATGATGATTGCCAACCTCCGTCGCGGAGATGGCACTTAAAGAAGAATGCAGACGAATAAAGGATAATGATGTAAAACATTCTTCACCTGGAATATAACAAGCCTATATTAAGACAGAAAACTAGATTTTTTCTATATGAAACTAAACTAAAACCGAGAAGGAGCCCATGTAGGAGCTGGTTCATTGCCTTAAATTATATGCATTATATAAATAACAGAATATAACAGAACATAAATATAGTCTGAAGGAATAGTGATTTGAACATAAAAAATTAAATTCCAATGTATAAAGCAGAGGTAAGGAAGACCTAGATCTTGAAGGTGTTTTTCTATAATTTCATGAGGTATTGATGGACAGACGTTAGAGATTATTAGTCTCTTGGCTGGGGTTACCAGTCTTCTTACGGGTAGTTCTACAGAGTTGATTGTAATCGTAGGATTTTCTGTTAAAATATGTTCGACGAGTTCAGAATTTGTTAAGTAGATGCATATCCGATTATTGGAAATTCTTGAGGCGAAGCATATGTTTTTGGGGCTAACAGTGTTACCTATGGCTTTGACGTAGTCGAGTAGTAATAAGTTTGGTTCAGCATGTATTAATATTGCTTGATCTTTTTTGGGATATTTCGGTTTGGGTTTTGACATAGTAGCAGTTGCATATGAGTTTGGGTTATTACTGATGTTGTTTCCAGACATGGTGTTGCTAACTGTAGGAGAACATTGATTTAAGTTGTTACTCATGTAGTCAAAAGTAACTATTTTTGATTTTATTGTATTAAAGTTTCGAGTGATAGGCAGCAAATGTAACACATTATAGTAGCTAGTTCAATTATATGTTATGAACTAACTACGATAATATAATGAGGTGCTAACGCTGACTCAGACCAACCATTATCTAGTAGAAAAAAATCGAAAACTATGTACAATATGATCACATACAAAAAATATGAGAGGTGGAAAATCAGGAAGGTACTGAAAGCATCTTACAGGGGATAAATGGAAACATGAACAAGGAAACATGTTGAATCTTATAAGGAGCTCGAAGGGAAAAAAATGTTCACAAGAGAAATAAAAGAAAATATGAGACTAAAATGCTTAAAAATTTGAAAACTTTCAGGAACCAGAGCGACACGA